GGAAATGTTACACTGAATGAAATATCAGTCAAGGTGATGTGACATTCCAGTAAGTCACGGTGTCACAGCATTTCATCTCACCGTTACGAGGAGGCTAACCTTTCGTTTAATGAACAAACCGCCGGGACCTTCAGTCTTTTAAAGTCAGTCTGTATTTCTGTCCTGTCAGTTCAGGAGAAGAACTTTTATTCAACAATGACTAATAATAACTCCGAGTCTTCCCTGTCATCACGACTCAACAGCTCCTGACATCCAGGCCTTTTCCACTTAAGCTAATTTAAGAAAAAGTTGACGAGACCTTCTTTAAATCTTAGCATTTCAACATCGGTTTATTTCATACACAGGTGGAGTCGGGTTGAATTTACACTGTGATGCGATGGAGGTGTGTGTGTGTGTGTGTGTGTGTGTGTGTGTGTGTGTCCTGAACGTGCGCAGCTTCTTGTTCAAGGCCAGCTCAAGGTTAACTTCCAGGAGCAGATATAGGTGAGAAGCTTCAGGCACAAACCGACTGTTCGTGCTGGAAATATAAATTATAGATTATATTGTCCCTTTATATTCTGCATATATTTTCCCCGTGAACAGCTACTTGACGGTGTTGGGCATAAAGATCTGTGAGAGCAGCGAGCGTAAGTCAGCAAAGAGGTGAATTGTTTAGATGACATGTTTGTATGGACCGCTCGCTTTTTCCACTTGAGAGACTTAAGTGCTTTATTGAATATAGAAATCCATAGAGGAAAAGGTCACTGTCTGCACATTTCGTTTGGCATGAAGATGAATACTTTGCATAACCGTGGGCCGTCGCATGCTTATATGCATCGTAACGATCTGTTCAAGCACCCGGAAACGAGAGAGGCGATCAATCCGAGTTATCACAGTTCGGTGGATGTGAAATGAGCAGAGCACCTGTTAAAAAGAGGAAAGGAGCGATTGTCTCTCTGGAGAAGCCGAGCTCCTGAAAAACCTGTGGATACTTTATTTGTTGCGGTTGCACTGCGACAAACCCGAGTCTTAAAACCACACGGAGCCACGCTGCAAATCACCTCCAGCGCCTGATTTTCTCTCTCACAGAGACAAAGCAGTAAAGCGTCTATTTTTTCACCCTCCTGAACAACGGTGACATAAATCCTGTCCGTAATTGTGTCCAAATCAGTGAATTTAAATTTCCCCAGAGAGGAATTTGCGTTAAACTGTACACATGCTCCAGATTCAGCATAAAGCTCTCACACATTCAGTGCAAACACACACACAGGCACGTCTAGTGATATCCACACACGCGTATATGAAACTGCAGCGTTCCCAAAAGCTTCTCACCTCAGAAATTCTGCTGTTCCAACAACAACGAAACCTCCTGCGTGGTCGAAACGCACTGAGGCAGAGCTGTCGATGGCTGTTCAAAGGCCTGTCAATCATTCTGACTGACTGATTGGTATTCGCCGATGGTCATGGTTTGTGCGTTGGCATTCTCTAAATGCAACGCTGACCGCTTTGATTAATCATTGCTGTCTGAGCGGTCGATAGAAATGCACGAGGCCTGAGGAGCATGTCGTCGTGTTCACCTCCAGTCTGCTCTTATTCAGATATGGTCTGAGAAATAGTGAAGTATTTTTATATACACCGACGTCACCCGAGTTGACTACACACCAGCGGGAGCTGATTGTATCATCAATCATACAACTGATTTACCTAATCAGCTTGTTAGCCTGCTAGCTGCAGTAGCTTATCAACACTGAGCACAGCTGCATCCATGTGACTTCCCTCTGCAGCCATTCACCAAAGGATTTTAAAAGGAGATTCACTTGCAACACAGGAAACGATCCCAACACCCTGCGTGGTCTTTAAAACATCTTCACACATATAAAGGTGATGAACGTTTCCTGCAGATCTCAATCTGGATTCTCTCCTCTCCTCTCCTGCCTCTCGGTGAATAATAGCAGCGTGGAGACACAGCGAGAGGGTGGAGAGAGATATGTGGGAGCATTAAATGTGTATTCATCAGGTCTGGCCCCGGCCATTGACAGGCTAATCAATGTTTAGTAATAAGGCTGAATGTGGAATGAGATGTGGGGGGTCCGGGTCGGGACGGGGGGGAAAGAGATATCAATTAAGGAGGGAACTGCAGCGTCCAGGCCAGAGGAGCTGAGCCGGCAATATCCCCAATCTGGTTCATTAACTAAACAGTGTGTGCTGAATGTAAAACTCCTGCAGCCACCCACCCTGAAAAAAACCCCAACAACCAGCGCCCATCCCGACTGTAAACGGACGCCATGTTTAATGGAAGTGAACGAATCACTGCAGCAGGTAAAAAAACAAACGCTTCTGTTCTTTCACATAATGAAACAGAGGCCGAGCGGGGAAATAACATCCAAGTGTGATTAAATAAAGCTGAAAGCTGCCTGCAGGTCTGAAATGTGACGCAGGATCCAAACACATTCTCAAATTATGTTGTGAGTCATTTGCATACGATATGCATTCAGTGTCAATTGAGAAAAACAGTGGGAACAGGGGATAAAGTCCCAGTTTGCAGTTTGTTCCCATAGAAAAATAAGCGGATACAATTGATATTTACCTTCAACAAGATGGTGATGTTTGTTTATTTGTCAGCAGGATAACGCTGAACAGTAGAGAACTGATTTACACCAAAGGTGGTGAAGGGATGAGGCCCAGAGAGGAGGCCAGTACACTCTGGTCCAGTAAAAGGGACAGATTGTTTTCATCCATTTTTCAGGAAATAATCTTTTATCATTTTAAAAATCGAAGACAGAGTTTTGGTGCAGATTCTGGTGATAATGGGTTAAAATGATGCAGAGTTTTTCTTGTTTCTGTGCTTTGAGTCAGTGTTTTAAGGAAATGTTTCTTCAATAAAGGTCAAACTTCTGTGAATCAGTCACAGTGTAAATATAGAAGTGAGTTAAAGTGTTGACTTATCATGTGAAAGAGTAAATCACTTGTTGGCTGAACCTTCTAACACCTCTTGCTAATATGTATGATCCCAGGAGACTAATTCAAAGCCCGTGAAGGTCTGTGACACTTTTCTCCCGTTTGTTAACTGTATTTCACCTCGTTAAGGAAACATCAGTCGTTTCAGTGTCCTGAAGCCAGAAACGTCCAGAATCAACTTGTCCCTCTGCTGCGTGTCGTCCCTCTTTACAAACACAGTCGTCTAATGATGCACAAATGTCAAAACCACCTCCTGTTTGTCGACTAATCATCTTTGTTTAATCTCATTTTGATGTGAGTGTTTTAACTGTAACGTGTTGTTCAACTGTCTAAAACCATTCGACTCACTGCTCTTTGTTTACATGAAATTCACATCAGTTTAAACCAACAACAACCAAACACAAGCTGACAACAACAAAACACATTATTTGGGATCCTCCTCCTTCAGCGTCCAGTTACAAACACACACACATTAACTTATTTCCTGCTCACTGAGGCAACATCAACACGAGCATTTGGTTGCTATGTGGTTTGCACGCAGGATATTTAAGAGAATGAAAAGGCAACTTAGGAGGCAGCAGTGAGGAATGAATGTTGCTTCCAGCAGAGAAAGAAACTGGGCCCAGTTGTTCAGAAGTAATCTGATCGGATTGGTTCAAATCTTAAAAATGGCTTCTTTAAACAATAAAAAGGTTTAGAGATGAGATTACATCTTAGAAACCAGGCTTGTGTGTGATCGGGATCAAACCTGGATGTTGTTTGATACCTTTTCAGGATTGTGATACTCGTCCCAGCAGAGGGGTGGATTCTAGAAATATAATGTAATGAAACTTCAAGTGTGATGTTGATGTGACACATTTCACATCTTGTTTTGCAGTTAGTGGACGTGCACATGCTCAGGTGTGTTTGCTGCAAAATAAGGTTGGAAAAAAACCTCAGATTAATCAAAAACTCTTCGAAATAACCCCGTGTTGGTTATTCTGTGTGTTCTTTACATAGCCAATAATCCACATTGCATTATGTTCTTCCATTTTAGAGCAAGTGTAATCCAGATGTGGTAATCTTGAAAGGTTTCTATCTGGATCAGGGTGATGAAAACCCAGCACAAAAGTCAAAATCACCAAATTCTGGAAAGCAAGACATAGGATTTCTAAAATCCACATTATTCTGATCAAGATTAAACCTTTTCAGCAGCAGGGCCCTGGAGAATAAAATCAACTCTTGAACATTAAGAATACAAAAATATCTGTCAAGAGTAAAAACTAAGGTTGGTTCTGAAAGTAAGAAAATGTTCGACTCATCTGTTCTTTTTGTTCTCTTTGGATTTAGCTCAACGTTCGATCAGTGCAGCAGCTGCAGCAGCAGCAGGAATTGCTGTTAATGGATTAATGGATCTTTGTAATGAAAGAAGAAATTACAGCCTGGATTCTCACAACAGCTGATTGTCTTATTGATCGAGGGAAGCAAATAACTTTACTTTTTCAGTCAAGAAAAATTCAGATGATTGAAATTGTTCACATTTCTATTGATTTGGGATACAAAAATAAATCACCCATCGACTCTGTGCAAACTGACGGATATGACACAAGCTTCAGTGTCAGAGTGCGTTTATAATAAATAAGAAGTCATCATAACTAAGCTCGATCTAAAGGCCACAACCTGCAAATCAACTTTTCTCTTCACTCGCCTGTTGCCAGTCAGCACAAGGAGGCCATGACCGCAGCCTGACCACTAGTAGTCGCTGTTTGCTCCAACAAACAAACACACACACACACACACACACACACACACACACACACACACTGGATTCAATGCCACTCAATCCAACTCACTAGCCCGTGCAGGCAGACGTGCACGTGAGCAATAAGACACTCAGCCCACATCAACTTTGACAGGATTTCACCTCCACCCCTCCTCCACCCCCCCCACTTCATCCTCAGGAAAACAGCTGTAATTTTTCTCAAACGGCTGCAAAAGCAATAAAAATGCAAATTCCAAATGTCATGCACAACAGTTTTTCTCCTCCACTCATGAGGTCCATGTCATGCCTCTGCGATGCTTACCTGAAAAACACTATCGTTTCCCACAAATAGATCCCCAGCACGTTTAGTCGGCACATTTTTGCCAGTCTCATTTTGTTTGGAGAGGGGGGTGACAAGGTGGGAGGGGGGGGAGGGGGGGGGGGGGGTGGGGAGGGGGTCACACTCTTGAGAGGGGGATGATTCCTCTCCAGAGAAGAAGAAAGAGAGAAAGAAAGAGAGAGAAATCCCTTTAGTGGTGGAAGAGGGGGAGGAAGAGGAGGAGAGGGGAGGGGGGTTTGTGGTTATGGTTTAGGACCTCCAAGGTGATCCGCAAATGTTCCGCTTCCTATGTGTGTGTGTGTGTGTGTTTCAGATCCCGGAGTGGCCGGTCCTGAGCCGCGGGGAGCTCATGGCCTCAGCGGCCATGGAATCACGCGTGTGTCCGAACCTCCGGAGCCAGAAACAAAATCCACAAAATCCAGCCGGGATGGAGCTCAGGACCTCGGACAGCGGCAGGCGGAGACACCGGCGGGGCCGCGGGGAGGACGCGCGTCCTGGTTCTGTCTCACCGGGGGTTGGGGGGAGGTGAAGAAGACACTCAATTACACCCAATTACTGTGAAGTCCAGTCTGTGCCATCCACAGCGGTGACGGGGGGAAATCAGACATAATCCTTAAACGCAGAGAAAACGAATCACGCACAGTTTTGGTTTTTGCGTCTCACTGCCTCCGGAGCACTGGCACACAACTGTGCACGTGTTATAATCCCCAATTCCACGCACGGAGCGGACCTACGCAGGAGTGATCTGTTCTCAGATGCGCAGCTTCTCTCTCACATGCATCCCGGTGCCGCGCTGGATCCGTGCGTATCGGCTGCTGCGGGACTCCCGGCGCTCAGAGAGAGATGTCTGCAGGTGGAACAAGTCTGTCTCCTCTCCTTCCGCTCCCTCTCCTTCTTCTTTACCTCCTCCTGCTGCTCCTTCTGCTTCCTCTCGCACTTGTCTCCCAGGGGCGCGCAGTAGTAGTAGTAGTAGTAGTTGCACTTGGCGCTGCAGCAGCGAGGCTCAGCTACTCCCATTGTCTGGTGCTGCTCAAGTTGGAGACGCTCCGGCGGCCGCTGCTGCGCTCCGCATCCGCTCCCATCCGGGCACCGCGTCCGTTACGAAGAAAGGAATAAATCAAACCCCCCCAGCAGAGGTGCGAGTGTTACAACACGGAGCAGAGCTGCGCGTATGACCGAGGCAGAGCCTGTTCCATGGCAAAGAGAAGCGGCGACAATGGCCCCTGTCCGGCGCGCTCACACACACACACACACACGCGGACTCACACACGGTGGCACAGACAGCAGATCCAGGCTCCGTGCGCTCACACTCTGTATTTTCTTGCTGCAGTCATTTAGCAAACTCCAAAAAACGCACCTCGCAGCGCACGCACACGCCCACAGGAGCCTGCCATTGGCCCGTGTAGCTCTGAGGGCCGTCGCTGATTGGTCGGTGGAGGTGTCACTACCCAGACACGAGCTCTGCCCCTTACGCACACATTCCTCAACACTGTCAGTGCGATGAGAAGTTATGAGTTTTATTATAAACAAACACACAGAAAACTCAAAGTTTTCATCTCAGAACAAGTTTGAAAATCACAAGAGATGATAATGATAACATGTCAAAGTCCAATGATTAGTGGCTAAAATTATTTTAACATAAGAAAAGTGTCATAAGTTGTTTCAGACAGTTTTCAGATAATAAATCATTTGATATTTTCATTTCATTCATGATCTGATAGAATCATAATTGAACTTGAAGTTTAATTAAAAAAAAAGGAACACACAGTACTCAGAGTACATGAGTATAAAATTAATTAATATGTCCTAACTGATCATTATGGTCTGTGACATAAAATACCCGAGAATCTAGTATCCACTAAAAACAGAAGTTTATCCTGTTTATCTATGAACCTTAAGTGGACGTTTCAACATTACACTGAACACAAACAGTGGATGTGTCGTACTGACACCATAGAATGTTTGTGTATAAAGATGGACGACATTACAGTTCCTCAAAGTGAAGCCAAACTGTCTCCTTGACCCCCTGGTGGCTGTCCGCGGTATATAGGTCATAAACCCTCCATGTTAGCAGATGGGACTAAAAAGTCAAAGTACAATATTTTGGACCAATGTTCAATGTGATAAACATTTGTTTCATCATACAAATTAGCATTTGTCAGATCTTAATATTAATTAATTTCTTAAAGTTAAACCTTAATACTTAGTATATCTAAAAAATACATACTATGAAATGTCATTTAAAATATTTTCTTATGTTCAATTCTGTAAAAATATCCGTTATAGTGGAGGAATTCAATTTCATCCTTGGTGACAATAACACGAGCAGAGGAGCGACATACACTGACTTACCATCGGGACAGTTTTCTTTTTATAATTCAGTGGAACGAGGGGAGTGAAAAGTGGAACGTAAAAGAAGCATGATGAATATTTAAACCATTACATCGCCATTATGGCTCTTTATGTAAATGTGGAGAAAAGTGCTGTGGTGTTTATTTATAGTCGCAGCGGGCTGTAATTGGCTTCAGTTGTTGTTTGGAGTGGGTCGACCCACCCAGCTGACCCAGCACTGCAGGAGGTGGTGCACATGGAGGAGGTGGGACGGCGAGAGGAGGAGCAGCTCCAACAGAAAAAAACTGCTGCAGACTTTAAAACCCAGGGAGGAAAACATTTCAATGTACAAAGTGAATGAGAAAAACAACAGTCGTTTTATGTCTGAGCCCTCAGACTGTGTGAAAACCTCCAATTAGATTGAAATTGATGTTTGAAACTGTTGCTGGGAATCAATGGCAGCTAAGACACAACAGAGTTTGATTGCAATAAAGTAAAATCTGGTTTAATACGACTTACAGGTTTGAGCTTCGTTGCATCATAAAATCAAAACGATTTTCTTTCCTTCGTCCACAGATGCAACCACTCTCATTTATTCATCAGGGTTTCATTTCAGACAAAAGTTGTCACTTGATATAATCAGACTTCTCAGACCTCAGTAACCACACTGACTCACTGCTGAGGAACTTTTCTCTAACTTCTCTGCGTGGATGACTTGTATTGATTTGTTGGTTGTGTCCCTCAGAGTGTGAACACACAACAGCTTCCGTCTGTCATTGTTAGTAACTTGACACTGTGTTGATCTCTGTGAAAGTGTTTTCCTTCCCTCGTACAACTGTACTATATCTGTTTGTTCATGGATTCAATTGTATTTTTACATCCAGTGTGTGTATTTCCTGTAGTATTATCATGTACTTTTTATCACGAATCATCCAATTGACTGGGTTTGTATCTGGAAGATGACGACGTCCAGCAGCAGGTTTGCAGGACAGACAAATAAACTCCAGTGTCCTAATGAAAACAGCGTCTCGGTGACATTAGTCTACTGCTAAAGGTCGTGTCCACTCCGACAGTCTTCTGAGGAAGACTCCAGCAAACGTCTGAACCTGAGCATGTTTCATATCAGAGCAGACAATCAGTGGCAGAGTCACAGTCACAGGACGAGTGGACGATGTCTGAAATGAGAGACGGAGAAAAGATCAATCTACAGTAAGAAGACGACACAACAGGAAACAGGTCTCTCGCTGTTCGTCTACAGGAAATCAGTGTGAGAATTTACTTCATCTCCAGCCTGAGCCTGTTTCAGTGTCCTGCTACAGGAGACATCTCCAGAAATGAGGTCCAGGGCTTGTAGCTGTTAACCTGATGTACATCTGTCCCCGACAATGTGAAGCTGCTGAGTGTCCTGAGCTCATGCTTTCTCCTTGATACTCACCAGGTATCACCACACACACACACACACACACACACACACACACACACTTTCAACCTCAACCCTGCCACTGGCAATCACATTAAGAGGCAGATACCTTCATATTCTCACAGGACCACATTTAGCAATCTGCCTAATTTAGCCGGACTGATACATTGGACCAGTGCACTCTCAGTCTACCTCTCTCCACCCTCTCTCTCTCTCCCTCTCCATCACCAAATCTCCTCCTCCCCGTCTTTATCTTTTTATTCCCACGTCCTGCTGTCCTTGAGATGGTCGGCTGGCTGCCTCGCGGTCGGTTTAAATGTCAGACATCCAGAATGACCTGCAGCTATACCTGCATTCTGCTGCCAAAAAGAAAGAATGAAATATCGTTTCGTTCATTTGATTTTTGGTTTCAAATAAAAAATTAAACTCCCTGAACGTACAGGGACCATTCAGCCAATAACCCGTGGCAAAACTCACGTGGAGCGTTGTTTTCAACCTCTCCCGAAAGTTGGCTTGAAATTCAATGCTAGTTTTTGTTATGGTGTTGATAGACTCAGTAAAAATGGAGACAGGTTAATTTAAATTCTGAGGAATCTGCCAAAGCTGTCACCGAGCAGCAGGAACCTCACACCGTGCAAATACAAGATGCTGTGATGCAGCACTCGAGCTGCAGGTATTATACATTTTATATCTTTTATTTGCACTGTTTTGGAACTTTCCACTCTAGAAATCCATCTTCCAACATAAGATCAAATCTATAACTACATCTGTTTGTGTGTTTCATGTTCACATAGCTTGATTTTACATGTCAGTTCTACCTTGGTGTTATTGTGCTGGAAAAAGAAACCAGACAGTGGCATGAAATGTGGCACTGCTGCTTTTTTGTATAGTTTTGTTTACATGTACACACGGGTCCTGAGAAATACAGCCCTGAGGGTTTCAATATAAAACATATAAACAAGTCAAACAATGTGTTTTATAAGAAAAAACAAGAATCTATAAACTGGTGAGATCAAAAATGATTTAAACTGGTTTAATGCTGAAAAACGCTTGAGTTGAATTATTCATTTGTTTATTCATCAAATATTGTAAAGTGCCTTTGGGTGTTTGGAAAGAGGCTGTGAAATAAAATGGCATCATTATTAATATTAGTGTTATTATTATTAAACATTAATCAGAATAGATACTGACTCATTTATAACGGTTAAAAAGTAGAGTTATCAGGATGATACAGGTCGTCATTGAGAACAAACTTTTGAACACAGACTTTTTGCATTTTTTTTTTTACAAATGAGTAGTT